AACATGATGGCTGGTCCTGCTCTCTGTTTTTCTTCCTGTTCATTTCCTTCAGGTTTTTTCTCGATTTCCTTCACACATAGGACGAGTTTGCATTCAGGGCTTTTTGTCACAGCGACTCCTTAAGACGCAGATATTTTAACCCAAACTACCATCTTTTCCTAAAACTAGCTATTAGATCATCATTGCCCAAAACTAACCAAACTATACTCTGATAGCAAACTCTGATAGTAGATTTTACCTTTCTTATCACATCTGTGTCACTCAATCGAGTGCTTTTTTGGGGTCATTGTGAGTCATTATTATCATCCACTTAATATACTTAATGTCTTGGAAACAAATGCATGAAGACATGTATGCTATTGAATGCTTTACTCTTGCAATGACTGCAGTGGATCGTAAGCACTTTTGTGCAGTCTGATCTTTAGATGTTTATATGTACTCCTGCAGTCTGTAATGCCTATGATTATAGTTAGTTAGCAGATAAATGGAGTAGAGTAGACTGGGTCTTTTCTGCCACTGAAAAATCCTGCAACAACAACACAATAATAATATTAATGTTTTTCCTAAAAAGTGCAATATTTGCCAATGAAGTGTAGTTCAGAGTCAGCGTACCAGTAGATACAGAAAAGAAACTGTGTGTATTTTGACTTTGTACACTGACTTACCATTTTGTGGTTACATCTTGCTAGTACTGAGCTGGACCCCCTTTAACCTTCAAAGCTGCCTTAATCCTTCGTGGCATAGATTTATCAAGGTGCTGGAAACATTCCTCAGAGATTTTGGTCCATATTGATGTGACAGCATCCCACTGTTGCTGCAGCAATAAAGGGATGGACATGGTTAGCAACAATACTTTGGTACACTTTGACATTTAAAGGATGCTCAGCAAACCCAAAGTGTGCAAAGAAAATATCCCTCTGGAACATCATACCCCCACCACCAGCCCGAACTGCTGATACAAGGCAAGAAATGTTGCGGCAAGAATCGAGACTCATCATATCAAGCAACATTTTTTTTCAGTCTTCTACAGTCCAGCGTTGGTGAGCCTGAGTAAACTGAAGGCACAGTTTCCTCTTCTTAGGTAACAGGAGCAGTATATGTTATGGCTGGTGTAGCTCAATGCTGTGCGTTGAGAGAGGCTCTTCTGCATATCTTAGTTGTAACAGGTGGTTATTTGAGTTACTGTTGTTCTACTATCAGCTTGAACTATTCTCCTCTGACCGTTGGCACCAACAAGACATTTTCACCCAGAGAACTGGCTACGAGTGGATATTTTCTCTTTTCCCGATCATTCTCTGTAAACTCTAGAGATGGTTATGGTGGAAAATCACAGTAGATTAGCAGTTTCTGAAATAAACAGACCAGATACAGAGTCACTTGAAACACCTTTCATATTCTGATGCTCCATTTCAACTTCAGGAGGTCGACTCGATCATGTCTATATAATCAAATGCACTGGCTTACCGCCATGTGATTGGCTGATTACATATTTGCATTATCAAGCCGGTGAACTGATGTACCTAATGAAGTGGCCAGTGAGTGTATTTTATAGATAGCATGTTTAACCTGCCATTCACTGCCTCTTGTCTTCTTTGACTATCAGAGTCACCTGAACCTGCTGCTGTCCAGACTTGCCCTCTGCCCGAGGAAGTGATCAACACCTTCAGCATTCAGGGAGACGCTGCTGTAGGAACATCCATTCGCTACAGCTGCCTTTCTGGGTGAGGGCAGGGTTAACGCTGAGTGTGAATGTGCGGGGGTCTCAAAACTTGAAATGCCACAGAGATGGAAATGGAGGAAGTGAGAGAACGGAGACGGAGTGTGAAGAAGAGGGAGGGAGTGAAGGGAAGGCTTGAATACAGCAGAGGTGTGATGAGCAATGAATGGCAGGGAATTCATTTTGATCTCCCAGCTGACGATCTCTCCATTGAGCTAACTAGGTCATTACAGTCTAATCTTGTATTGACTCCCCTTTATGCACTGACTCATCTCACAGGATAAGATGAGCCTGAGTGGATGTGTCAGCCAGAGAACTGTGCACACAAAATTTAGTCACTCTCAAAGAGAGACGGTGGAAAAAGGAAACATTTACACCTTTTTCTCCATCACATTTAGTCAGTACTGTACATGTCGCACCACCATCTGTCTCCATCACTCTTTCCTTTTTCTCCTGCAGGGCGGATATAGTGGGGAGCAGGGAAAATTCCTGCCAGGAGAATCAGACCTGGCAGTATCCTCACCCCATCTGTAAAAGTAAGTGTACAGGGCGTCCTGTGCTGACTAACCATCATGTGTGAACATGCATGTGTGCTACGTTTTCTTCACTCTCAGTGTAACTTCATCCATTTTTTAGCAGCTTAGCAGAAAATGCTTGAGTAGCGAATGATCAAACTGAGTCTAAAAATAACATCAGCTCAGAAATGGTTTGTTTTTCCATCATTTGTAGCATGCATGCATTTCTGAGAGCTGATATTTAAGATATACTGAATCAGAGAAGCCAGACAGAAACACACAGACACTCTCGGGCATGCATCTTTCAGGAGCTACTGCTCCGTTTTGCAGTGCTTCTCTGCCATCGTGTGGTCAAACCTGGGATTTCATGGCCTGTTTAACAGAAATGGAAAATTCTTTGAGGATAGTTCTCGAATCAGGCCAACGGGAGTACGGCTGGGCCTGTCATTTGTTAAAACATGTTAAAGATAAGAGCGAGGTTACTTTAGTGGAGTTTCAAGGTTTTATACAACGATGAAAAATTGAGCAACTGTGCATTTGTCCTGTGAAATAGTAACTCTGCTTCTGTGTTTTTAATGTCAGCAAATCTTCTGATTAAGTTTACTGATAAACCTGCTTTCTTCACTAGAAGTGTACTGCCAGCCTCCTACAGAGGTGGAGCAGGGCTATGTAGTGGCTGTCCAGAAGACTGAGTATGAAGTGGACTTTGACATCCACTACCTGTGCAAAAAGAACTTCCTCCTGGATGGACCCCAGATGATCACCTGTCTGTCCAATGGCAGCTGGAGTGCGTCGCCCCCGCACTGTAGAGGTGAGGAACGATCCAATCTAATATCCGGACTATTTAACAAAGCTGAAGTAAAATGTAGAGAGACACCTTTGCATAAAGTCCTAGAAACTCAAATAAATGTGCACCTATACACGGCAATTAATAAACACAGCATTATGTGTCTGATGTTTATATGATACTTTCATACCTTGTTGGTCATCCTCACAGCTCGTTGTCTCATTCCTGCCGAGCGAAGCCGCGTGATGATTGGTGGCGTGAAGCGCTGGCCGTTTGATGTTACAGATGCCATGGTTCCCCACGGGAAAAACGTGACGTTCTTCTGCAAACATCCTCGTAAGCAATGCAGCTTCACCGCAACCCAGACCTGCTTTAATGGAAAGCTGCAGACACCAGCCTGCTACCTTGGTAAACCTGCACCAGCCGCCGTGCCCGGCTCTTTGTCATGTGTAACTAACATCTGTAACGCCATGAAGTGTTTCTAATAGTTGTGCAATCTTATCGTTCTTCAGAGCCGACGTGGTTGCAGTATAAACTCTTTCCTCATCGGCTGGTCTCGGAAATTGAAGCATGCGAGCCCGGCGACGTGGAGTAATGACCTGCACGTCTGATCTCGACCCACCCAGCGCTCATGACAGACACTGTGCCACAATTCGAGCACTTCCAAAACACACGCCCTCCGTACACCTCCTCCCTGACCGCTCTGCAGCTTCTCTGTAACCATCAGAGCTACAGTTAGTTAGATGCAGGGACTATTTTTTTGATTTCACAGCTTTTGTGGATCAGCAGCCTAAGATGTCTTTCTTTTGGCCTCACGGGGTTTCACCACTGCTCTCAACTTTTCTCTCTTTGCCCTGAATACTATTCAACTGCAGGCATAACTGTGAAGTAATTCAACCAAATTGTGCCATAGGTGCAATCTATATGCAATCATGACTGTGTGTGTGTATAATACAGTAGTACCAGCTATACCCCTGACGATACCTTCATGTAGCCTAATTCATAATGACTCGATTCTGTGATGTTTCACTGTGTGATCTTTTTTCTTCTGTTGAGCCCGACGCATCAAGTCTCAAAGCTTGTAAGTTTTTAAGATGAGAGATTTGAAATAAAATATTGTCAAAATGCTTTGCTCTCCAGCTCTTTGATGGCAAATAAAACCCTCCTGTGTGATTCCACTTTACCTCTCTCCTGCTTTGCCCCCTTCTCTTTGATTCTTGGGAGCACAGAGAGCCTTTCTTTGCAGGCTGCAGGTTCAACAGTACTCATAGGCTGAACATGGCTACTGGTCGGACCCGGTAGGCTGCGACACCATAGCAACTCCCCTTGACCCCTCCCTCCCACAGCATTCGCAGCATCACCCTTTACACTGCACAGTCATATTTGGTCCTCCGGAAATATCCACAGCTTGGGTAAGCCAGTCCCTATGCAGCGAGAGTATGGGTGGAGTATAGTTTAAAATCCAGTTTTTAAATGTATCGAAAGCGTGTCCGTTGCGTGTTACGCCGGCTCTGACAGCACGGCTGGAATAAATGACAGCTCACCGGGAAAGTTTGTCCTAAAGCTGCGCTCGCGGTATCTCGGACCCTCGGCTCTAAAATGGCTGGCTGTGGGTCCGAGGAAGCTCCGGTGCAAGGGGAAGGATCCGCTCCACGCCACGACTGTGTGTAAATATACATGGGGGGTTTTTCTACTACGACGCGCGCGTTTGCGACGGCGTTGTCCCAGGTCCGAGAGCCGTCAGGGCGCACACGCGGAATAATAATAACGTTGGCATTTCGGACCTAGGACTGTGCGTAATGGCGTCCTCCGCGGATAGTTCTTCTCGGTTTATAAGCAGAAAGGGGGTAGAACAGGCTGGTTCTTGCGAGCCTAACCGGGTATGAATAATGTTCTGATGCGAATTTTATAATGGAAGGTTTCATCATGTATGATGAATGTGGACGGAAGAAGTGTAAGCCGGGAAATGAAATTTCACTCGCATCATTCGGACCCTTCTGTACTCCGGTGCGTTTTTTTTTTTTTTTTTTATTATCGGTGGTCCGTCGATTAGGAATTGTGAGCTAAGATTTGGGATCATGTAAACTGACAGCACGTTTGCTGTTGAGGAAGAGGGTCATACGAGTCATTCATCGTTTCGGCCCGAGGATTTAGGGTGAATAGTCTGCACGCTGCTTATAATATCACAGCACTTGTGGGTTTGGGCATTTCGCACTAAAGTTGACCCCAATAATCCCCAGACTTTTTTCTTCTTCTTCTCCCAGCCAGCCAACTAAGGATATTTATTTAATAATCTTCCTCTCCTGGTATAAGCAAAAGGCTATAATTAAAATGCACATTTTCTTTATTATAATTGTCATTATTTTAGTGTCTAATCTATTATTTTACTTTTATTTAAAAGAAATATAACTAGGTATGCCCCAAAATGGATTCTCAGTTGGCTTCAGTCCTGACCAGTGGCAGCCTGGATGTCCAAAATGGCAGCCAGTGTGGAGAGGGATCAGGGCTAGTGACAGAGACTTTATTGGACCCAAAGGACGAAACTGCACGCAGTACTGTACCAGGTAACCTCCAGCCATGCCCTGTCACGGCAGCAGTGACCATCAGGCAAGATGCTCTATCAATCAATGGGAAAAAGCCAGAGGTGGGCGGGACTTATGAGCCAGCCTCTCAGGAAACAACTAAGATTGGTGGGCTCAGACAGCCAATTACAGTAAAGTCTGGAGTGCCTGTTTTGCACAGCCAGCCAATAAGAATCAAAATTGTTGTCCCTCCACGGTGCAAGAGGCCAATCACAAACTCTGCTATCAGCCTGACCAAAGACTTTGCTCTCTCAGAATTTCAGGGACCCGTGTTGGTCTCTGCTGAATCACAGAAGAAACGTGAAATCTGTGTGCCACCTGTTAAAAATGAAGGAGAAATCACGGAAGTTACTTACCAGAAGACTGAAGAAGAAGCTGAAGCATTTCCAGAGACAGAAGCAGAGAAACGGGATAAATTGTGTAAAGACAGAGACGTTTTGGATGTTAAAATTGTCCACATTGATGGGTCGGAAACTCCTTTTACTGCTAATACAGTTAAGTTTTTAAGTCAGCCGAAGATTAAAGAGGAAACTACAGAGAGGGAAATTCAGAAAAATGTTCCTCTAATTTTGCGAGAAATGGACTTGAAGTGTTGCAAAACATTCAATGAGGTTGAAACGGAGGAGCAGACAGAACCTCTGGACCTGAGTTTGCCTAAGAAAAGGGAGAGCCGAGAGAGGAGATACGGGCGTTTCTTGGATGACTCGGGCTGTGAGAGCTCTCTGATCATGGAGGTGGATGAATATGAGGGAGAAGGAGACAGAGACATAGTAGAAGAGGACGATGAGGGAGGCGGCACAGATACTCTTGAAGATGCTCTTCTGTCTCCCTCTTTCTTTTCTACCTCTGTTTTGACCTCTCTCTCTTCGATAGACTGTGACACTGAAAACCTTCTTCTCATCGATGACCAGGGAATTCCGTATACGCTCAATCCGGATGGACTCAAAGTGCCACAAGTCAATGCTTCCAGGGTGGAGGATTCTCAGTCTAATCATGCTAATTCAGAAGAAGCAGAAGGAAAGGAGTCGTCGCTTTTGGCACCGTTAGCAGGTCCCAGCCAAAGTACAGATAATGCACTAAATGCACCTTCTGATGATTTTTACCCCTCGCCACCCCCTATCAGTGATTCTTCATCACTAGGTGATGATCAGGCTAAAGCTCCAGAAGTCTTCACAAGTTTGATTACAAACTCGAACCCTTCAGTGGCTGCAGAGCCGAGCGTTAAAGCTGTTCAGGATGCCAGCTCTGTTTTGTCCCCTTCCTCTGGGATATCAGTCCCCACCCAACCCATTCAACTTGTCACAAATCCTGCAGGCAATGCTCCTGTTCTCCTCCTGTCCTCCTCTTCTCACCTCTCCTCGGCTCCACTTGGTCTCTCTCTTCCCCTTTCAGTTACTCAGACTTCACATGGTGCTTCCACTCCCGTGTTTCTTCTCCTTTCCTCTGTACCTTCTTCCTCTGGTGAGTCCACCGCTACCTCCACCCCTATTGCTGTCCTCGACTCCTCGACCGGCCAGCTGTCCCAGATTACGGCCGCAGCTCCGGTCTCCCTTCCTCTGTCCTCTGGTCAGGTTAGCACATTGGGATCGCCTCTTCCTACACTGTCTCACCCTGTCATCAGACTCAGCCCCAATAACCCCCCTGTCATCCTGTCTGGCATGAATAACGTAAATTCTGGCTCCGTTCTCACGTCTCTCACTGTCCCTTCATCCACTATTGCCCTGCAGGATGACCACAGCTCAGTTCCTCTTATTCAAACTCAGATCACTTACTCTGAATCAAACCCTGGAAATGAAGCCATATCCGCTCAAGAGGTCTCCAATGAAAACAACAAGCCATCAAATTTTACAGCATCGTCTCCGAGACCGCCGTCTGCTAGTTTGACCTATGACTCTTTATCTCAGCCCGCCTCAGAATTAGACGCCCAATCACCTGACTCCAAATCAGACCTTCACTCTGAACATTTACCTCTGGATGACCATCTTTATTTCTCTAACACGGCTGCTCCTACCTCCCCTTCTATCGGACCTATCCTACCCCCTGGTAAACTTGACCCGCTAGATCCACTCTCTCCAGAGCTGTCAGCCAACACCGCGGGCTCCCGAAGGGTGCTGTACTGCCAGCTGTGCCCGAGGGTCTTCTTTTACCTCTCCGACCTTGAGCGCCATGCCATCACCCATTCGCAGAAGAAGCCTCATGTTTGCCAGCAATGCGGCAAAGCCTTCAAACGCTCCAGCCATCTGCAGGTCAGCACAAGCTAATCATAACCATCATTTCATCCTAAAGACAAGTAATAACAAATGAATGTGTTGGCCACTTGGGAGCAGCAAAAACAAACTTTAATATGTGTGTAAATGTGCAAATATTGTTCATGAACAATTAGCTGATTTATTCGAAAAGCACCAGCCACACTCCTGGAGACAAACCTGACATTGGTGCATTGACCTGCTTGGTACTAAACCACAGATGAAAGCTAGTCAGTTTAATAATATCAATACAGTACACCACAAAACTCTGGAGCCACTCCTCATTTCTTTATGTTATGCTAGGAAAATGGGTACAGAGATTTACTGAAACATGTGCAAACATGCAGCATATAAGGAAAAACGGAAAATTATTATTTGGTATCACTACCTTTATTCTTCAAAGTTTTCCAGGCTTCTTTAAGGACATTCAAAGCTTTTTGGGGGATGTTGGCTGCTTTTGTTCTGTTCTCTGTAACAACAACTGCTTTATTTGTATAGAACCTTTTAAAACACACAGTTCCAAAGTGCTTCATAGTTTGAATAAAACCAAGTATACATGTTCCAGCATTTGGACACACAGTCAAACACACTCATTCTTACAAAAACACATCAAATGTGAACTATGGCCAAAAATAATGGGATGATAATTAAGGGGAAACTAACTATAATAATGACTTCTCCTGATTGGCTGATGAAGGGCGTTCCAACAACCTTAAAAGCTTGATCACCTCTGGATTTAACATAAGTGTACGGAACAGGTAAGAAACCCTGATCATGTGATCTGAGAGGCCAACTGCTGTTAAAAGGTCTCAGTAGTTCTGCTGCAGGAGCCCAGCCATGCAGGCCGTTATATGTTACTGATAAACGTTTAGAATTCATTTGATTTTCCGTGAAGGGAAGCAAGAGTAGGGGTGATGTGTGAGTGGCAGCACACTTTTGAAAGCTTTCATTATGTTTAGTCCCCAGCACCTTCATTACTGTGTGCTGCCCACACTAAGCCAAGGGGGGCCCACAGTGGGGCTTATTGTCGGTCTGCAGCCTACCCACAGTATACACACTCCAGATGTGAGATGCCCCACTGGGACATTGCCGCCACCAACTTGTATGGCGTGTCGACCTGAATGCATCTCTCTCACACACATGCACAAAAGCTACAAGCCCACTGTCCAGCTCTTTATGGTAACATCAGTAAAATCTGCAAACAAAATATTTGACATTCTCACTTAAAAAATAATTAGAAGTTATAGTTAAGTCTCAAAATAGCTGCCAGTCAGTTTTATTGTCCAAGCAGTTGTTTTAGCTCCTCTGTCATCAAACACCTGACATCTTACTCTCTTTCTAGGTGAAATATCAAACTCAGTCAAGCTGCTGCCCATCTACACACTTATGTAGAAGTTAAGCAGTAGCTATGCAGTTGATATTTAGAGATTTCTGCTCCAAATACCAGCTCCTGCTGAGGCAGACATTATCAGATATACTAAAAACTCACATAGTGAGCTAAAAGAGCCAACGAAGCTCCACAAAGACGAGAGCAAACACCGAAGGAACAGCTCACCTCTAAATCAAATACACATACTTTCCTCTGGACCTGTAGTGCTTTTTATTTATCTAGATCATTTTGGTGTGACTTACCGAGTTGTATTCCACTGAATATAATGGAACTACAGTAAATAGACTTTGCCTTGTGGGGCTCAAAGCACCAAAGATGTATAAAAACCTCAGCAGTCATGCCTCTTTTTCAAAATTATGGGCTGATTATTCCAAAACGCTTGTTATGAGCATTTTCATGAAGGAACTGTTATAATTCCTGCTCGTGTCAGCATGACAGACTGTAAACATTAATGGCTTCACCCCCCCACCAGCTGAGCTATAATTTTAGTCAGCTGTTTGCTTCTTTTGGTTGGCAGATGTAGACAGCAGAAAGACAATAGTTTTGCATGAAATTTCTCATGTATTTTTTTTTTCAGTTTGATGGTTTGAGAACCACAAGGCCCTTTAGTTCGTTATTGGTAAAAAGAAAGCAGACATCTCTACAGAGGATAGCTCCAGAATACAGAATAAAAAATAAAAATAACATTACAGACCAGAGGAAAAGTACATCAATTAGATTCTTGGGCTATGATAGTTCATTTTTGGTTCACCGCCTCCCACAAGCCCTTTTACTTGCATATAAATGTCACTTAAAATGTTGTTTATATGCCTTTGAGTAATCATTCGGATGTTCGTCTCTCGTTTTAAACAGAGACACAAGCACATCCACACAGGCCAGAGGAACTTTGTGTGCCCCATCTGTGCCAAGCGCTTCAGGGAGGCAGGTGAGCTCCAGCGCCATCAAAGGGTGCACACCGGAGAGAAGCCCTACCAATGCCAGCTTTGCCACACGCGCTTTGCCGAGCGCAACACCCTCCGGCGGCACACCAAACGCAAGCACCCCTACCACCAAGTAGCCATGGAAATGCTTAACGAGAGAAGAGACAGAGGAGGCAGCCGAGGAGACGGAGGAGGCGGTGGTACGTCAGGAGTCCAGGAGGAAGAGGAGAGTGCTGAATGGTACAGCTCCACTGTGTCTAATTTGGATAACTCAGAGTCAGAGGTGGAAACGTAACACTTTAAAGTAAAGGGTAGGGGAGAAGTGCTGTTGATGATATCTAACTACAGTTAGACTCTGATCTTTTCTTTTTATTGACTAAGAATCAAAGAAGGGAGCACTTTCATATTTATTGTTTTTAATGTTAATTTATTTATATGAATGTATATTATTCCCATTCCATTTTAAGGGCCAAAACGCAGCCTTCAAAGTCAGATGTGACTTTGAATTAAGGGAAAACTCATTCTTGAAGTCATGTTTTCTTTGTGTGTGTGTGTGTGTGTGTGTGTGTGTGTGTGTGTGTGTGTGTGTGTGTGGGAATTCATAACATTAATTAAAACGCTCCTCATGAAGTTGCGTTCCCATGCAATCCACGATGAAACCCTAAAGTGCTCGAAAAAGAAAGATAGCTTATGAACTAAACAATCCTCTGCTCTAGTCATGTATATAAAGAGTACTACTTGTAAGAGCTGCACTTCTGCACTATCTCATATGAAAGATATAATCTTTCCTACCGTCAGACACACTGTGAGGAATTTGCACTCGTTTTCTTTGAACTCAAAGTTATTTTTTTTACATTGTGTATGAAAACGCTTACTTTTAATTTCGTTGCCGCTGTTGATCTTCTGTATTTAATCCACATCCTGTAAGAGTTTGACCAAATGTTTTTTGAGTTATTCTAATATAAACTCTATATTCAATTTTTTTTGTTTAAATTTTGAATATTGTTAATTTATTGGTATTAAATTTTCACAAAGCTAACTCTCTGTTTCTGCTCTTTCTTTTCCTCCACTTTAAATAGTATAAACAGACTGTATTTACATATCGCTCCCACTGTTTTGAGCTTCTGGATAGAGTGTGTTTCTGTGTAAGGACACTGTGACCTGCAGGCTGGAGGAGCTGGAGATCAAACCACTGACCTTCCAGTTAATGAACACATAGTTCTGTTTGCTGAGCTCCAGCTGCCCCGTTTTTCAAAAACAAAAAACAACAACAACAAAAAAATTCCTTTTTATGTGTGAAGCTACAACACAAAACCAAAATACACCCATTAAATTATAATCTGCTAAGACAATTTTAATATAATATATACTATTACAATTGAGCGTTACATGCAGACTTTTGCCAAAAACAAAACAAAAAAACTCTACATTGCATTAATTTCTCTTATATTTTACTAATTATAATACATTATAGCAGAAAGACATAACCCCATCCTTTCTCTGTGCTTGTTGCGATTTAGATACAAGTTTCAAGCGTCACAGTTTTCATCACAGTGATAATAAAACTGTCGCTTCCTGTTAAACTAAGTCTGGTTGAAGTCGGGTGATAAATGCAATCCATTTTGATCACAGTTCCATGAACTTATCCTGCTGCACTTTTAGGGAAAAGGAGAATATTCCCATTAAGTTTGAGCTAATCTTCAGTTTGTGTCTGATCACTTTTTTGTCAGAGAAGAACGGCTTTTACCCTCCTACAGGTAGTACTCTCATTCAGTATTTGCCTTCTTTAGTTTGGATCTTTGTGCTGAGGCGCTTAAATTCACTGTCAGAGCATCAAATGGATTTCACTCTAAAATAGCCTGAGTTTTGAACACACTCCCAGAATAAATGGCAATGATTACCCACTGATGAGCCACATATCCTCCAACAGTTCCTTCCTACACCTTGGTGCTTTCTCGGGGCAGCGCTAATAAAAAAAATCTTAGAATGTTTTTCCACTCAAATGGCCTCCAGGGATGTGAAAAGCATAATTCCCCAATATTTTCCCATTCTTCTGCAGATACAACTATTTCCACTTCACTTTTCCATTCGTCTGTATTACTTTGGATGCTTACTTCTAAGAATTGCAATGCCTCGATATTATTTTATATCTGCTTTCTTGTTTATTTGTTGATAGGAAGACATTCAATATATCGGTTTCTGCTTTTTTCTCAGCCCCCCCCTTATGATTTAATTTAACCTCTCCAAACCATATATTTTTTTTCTTTTTCTGCAAAGTTTCTCTGTGTATAAAGCAACAGTAGGCTATTAGGTCTTTACTAGTCCATACTTTAAATCTGGCATCTTTTGGGGGGTAAAATCTGAGTCATTATGTTTATTTCTCTCTCTAAGTCACATTTTTTGATTACTTTCTGGCAAAATCTAAAGGCCAACTTTATTCTGGTGTTTGTGTGTTTTTTTTAATAACTTTTGTTCACTTTAGCTCGTACTAGAGGTCCTAAAGTTTTACTGTTCTCTATCTCCTTCCACCTTGCTATGTAGGGAGTTATTATAGCTCAAGAGGTAAAGCTGGTAGTATGAAGGTTGATAGTTCGAGCCTTGGCTGCTTCAGTCTGCATGCTAAACCCAAGTCGCTCTCCGATGCATCCACTGGGGTATGAATGTTAGACTGAAAGCTCTTAAGCATAGAAAAAAGTGCTTGTATGAATGGGTGAATGAGGCATGGTGTATGAAATGCGTTGAGTGCTCAGGTAGAGTAGGAAAGCACCATATATGAACCAGACCATTTATCACATTGTGGATTGCACAACACAGCCTCCCCTTTCAAGTCTTTACACAGCATGAAGTTATTCTTCTTAGTTAATTTGATCCATTTTTGCCAGCTTAATCGCCACAGAGGAGATTTCCATGATTTCCTATGATTAAGGAAAAAAAACCCATTAAGATTCGTGGATCTGCTTGGGTGTGCAGGCTGACCACTTGGACAGCCTCCAGGGAGTAATTGAGTTTGGAAGCCGGGCCTCTGTTTTTTGCACTCTCTCAATTTTCTGCTCCATTTAAGCCATGGAGCCTAAGAGAGGTAAGCTGGAGATAAGTTATTAAATACTGTATCGCTCAAATGACCTGACTGGGTCGTCATGGGCGTCCCATTCTTCATTTCTACGCCGGCCATTGTGCTGTTTGAGCAGCGTTGGCCTCCTGAAAGGCTTGTGCTGAGCACCTTTGTGTTTTAGTTTAGGAAATTCACTTTCACAGAGGGTCAGTGGAAGGAGAAAGGTGTGCAGAGTGTGAGGATCAAAGGTTAACTGAGGAGTTTATTAAGAGTGGTTAATTTACGCCTGTGAAATGCCCTGTGCTCGCAGATAGCCAAGCATTAAAAAGCAGATATTTTAGCTTTACCTCTTTGAATTTTTTTAATTACAAGGAGACTTTAGGGATGTGTAAAAACTGAATATGGTAATAATTGCTTTGAAAAAAAAATAATACCACTTTATTACCATATTTTCTGCAGAAATTGCACTGCTATCAGTGCAGCTTCAGTTTACAATTTTCAAGTTTGTCTTAAAACAATGCTAACAAACCCCATTCGCATTGTGGGTTAGGACTGTAAGTAATTGTAATTGCTCCCCTTGTTCATGCCTGTGAGAGGATCCCTCTTAATGGCACTTCAGTTTAGAGATGGAGAACAAAATCCACAATCAGAGCTCGCTGTAAGAGCTCTGACGTTAGGCTGAATTTAATATGACTCAGAAATCTGAATTTTAATGAAAGAGGTGGCTTACAGTATGTTCAGGAACCAAATTCCGTCTTTGTATTACTACTTTTCTGCCAAAGGCCAACAAGGACACACTGTCCATGGAAGCTAAAGTGTTAAAACCTTTTAACTAGAGCAAACATCAGCTGGATTTGTACAAATTCATGCTGAAGAAGCCTCATATTTTAGAGTTTTAGAGGTCAGTTTTACACAAAAGAGGACCGTGCTTTGTACTCCATCTCTTCTGCTGGCCTAATATCGAGAAGCAATGACTTCAGTGCCAGTATGGACAGGAAGAATGATTACAGGCAGACAGACAGACTGGAAAAATACGAACCTGTCAAATAAATTAAGGGAACACTTAAATCACACATCAAATCTTGATGAATGAAGTACTCAAGTTGAAAATTTTTACTTACATACATTTCTAATTGAGAACAAAATGACAGAAAATCAAATAATGATTGTCCTTGGAAACCAAAACCAAACTTTTTTAACGCTGGTAAAAATTTTCATGTGTTCATTTATTAGTCATTTCATTAGGCACACCTTGATAGTACCGATTTGCCTGTCGAAATGTCTTCATGGCACAGATTCAACAAGGTGCTGGAAACATTCCTCAGATATTTTGCTCCATGTTGACATGACAGCATCACACAGCTGCTTTCCATCACATCTCAAATGTGCTCTATTGGACTGAGATCTGATGACTGTAGAGGCCATCTGAACATCTGGACATGGTCAGGAACAATACTCAGGTGTTTAAATAGAAAATATCCTCCACACTATTGCACCACCACCAGCAGCACTCTGAACTACAAGGCTACAACGCTTTATTCATATCTTTGTGTTGTTTAGATCAAATTCTAATAAATATAACCCCCCCCCCTCACCTAACAGCTCCTCACTTTTTTGTTGAAGAAGCCAATTGAAGTGCTGCTTACCTACTGTGACGGTCACTTCGAGCGTTCACTTAAATCGGTGGCCTCCTATCAGAACGAGAAAGAACAACACAAAACAGATTCGAGGCCTTTAATTGACACCACTGGGCTGTTGCGTTGCTGAGCTTACAAGGTCCTCAGCGCGCGATGGAGATGATGAATATTCAACCAGTTGAATGTGTGAGCTCAGCAGTCCAGCTGGAGATGTGTGTGCACTGTACAGTATGCGCGCTTCTCTGTGTGTGCTGGCTGCTAACTATCCAGATTGCGCCGAGCTTCAAAGTGCAGTGACTGACAGACAGATGGATGATAGACAGACGGAGGACAGGAATCTGTAGAGTCCGTGTTTGAAATTTCCTTGTGTGTGTGTGGCTGTGTTTGTGCTGCGTGAAGTGGAACGGGCAGCAGGCCTTCTGAGTGGCACAAGGCACATCGCCAAGTGATTGAAGTGATAAAGGTAGAGGAGGAGTGGAGAGACGGACTAGAATAGATCCAATGATGAACGACCAGGGAGAGGCAGCAGATGTAATGAAGTGAGCTCGGCGTGTGTGTCTCAGCTTTTTATTCCCTTTGATACGTTTGGCACTTTGATATGTTTGTTGTATATCTGCTCTGTTGCATCACAGACAGCCCATTATTGTCACTGAGAGCCAAAATGATGTAAAGCTAAACAAACCATGAAAGCTTTTTTTCTTTTTAGTCCAATGTATATGACTGTCATTGCACAGTTCAGCCACGCGAGGGCACACTTACACTTAGGATGTGCTGCACGGCTCGTTCTCTATGTCAAGCCTCTCAAATGGTGGAGGGATACTTACACCAGGGTGAAAGGCAGAAGACAGCGAGTCTCTTGAGAGCTGCATCACTCAAGCTCTGCAAATATAACAGACTGAGGAGGTGGTTACGACTAAAATATGAAATCAGTGAATGAATTTTACTAGCCAAATGATAGACAAAGTGAGTTTTTAGCTCATTAGCCACATAAAAAAAGACGGGTAAGCCCAGAATAGCACAGAGAAATATGATATCAAGAGGGAAGGGTTAACAGCGTGCAAGCTAATTCGCTCACCAGACACAGTGCAGGATTAACACTGTGGAGTCTGTCTGTGCATATGTGTGTGTGACAGAGAAGGAGGGTAACAGGTGTTAATCAGAGAGGGAGTCCCTGCTGCAGAGCAGAGGGTGAAGCTGTGATGGGGGGGAACCAGAGGAAAAAGCAATTACATCACCTTCCCTAC